TGAATCAACTGATTGCTTCATTGTGCTGGTTTAATTAATAACATCACTGAATCAACTGATTGCTTCATTGTGCTGAAGTACGCTTGTTTATTGTACTGTAGGTGTATACACAAATTCAATTTGATTATGTCTGAGCACTGCCCCATCAACACACCACTGTCTTCCAAAGGGGTTGGCTCAATTGTCAAACTCAAGGCCAACAAGTGGGAAGGACATTGTTCAATACAAAGTACGATTAATATTTTTGCATGCTTGATAGCTACACGTACATGTAGGCCTAACAGAATATGGGAAATCACATGTACTGGGGTAACAATACATGTACGGCATTTGCATGTACTGTACAGTATGTACATGTATGCATGTACACTGTACGTGTACATGTACATACAGTCAGCAACAGGCATCATCTCTGTACAGGTACAAATGAAGCAGCTTGGAGATGCTGGCGGCAAAAGGGGGTGCAGGGGGTCCCAGGTTTTCGATCAATTGGGGTGGCATGGCACCCACTCCCACTCTTGCAGGGCCTATCATGGGGTGTGGCTTATGTCTGGTGGTCTCACAACATAGCCCCCCCCCAAAAAAAAATTATTTCATCATCACTGCTTGGAGGAAATCACATCCTTAAATAAATGGATGATGACAGTTTTACAGCATGTGTTCAGACCTGGGGCTACATGTATTTTTGCACAAGGATTATTTTTGAGCATAAAAATCAGAGGACATAGGGACAGGGGAGTTTATGTAAACATACATTGTACCTTCATGTCCCTAAATTGTTGCAGGGCAATCTCCTTTGCTCATACGGTTTACAAACATTTACAAAATAATAAACCACCTGTCACTGAGAGTGCTGAATACATGTACATGACTGCTAAGCTGTAAAGTGGCTTGGCACTGGTGTTACTAATCACATTGAATACAGGTGAAGCGTACCTCATTGCACAAATCATAACATTTTTTCCATAGGAATATTCATCATTCAATACTCATGAGTCATCAGACATAATGAATGAGATAGTCTATTGTTAATGACAAAAAACTCTTATAAAATTACTTATAGGCTCTCTGTTCAACAACATTCATTGATATTCATCTATTGTTTGGGTAATGTACACATACATGAACATGTACATCAATGATCAAGAGAATACTCTACAAAGTCATCCAATTCTTTGTCAAAAAGGTGATAGTTGTTGTAGACCCAAGCACACACACGTGCTTTGATTGAGGCCAAATCAAGTTACCGGTAGTACCAAAATCAAAACTTACCATGGCATTATGATGATGTTGCTTGAGAAATACCCCAAAATGCGATATTTTTTGCTTTTTGGACAACTTTGGCCAAACACAGTCACGATGTCCTCAAATCACAGATATTTTCAACAGCAGAAGTTTAGTGTCCATCACTTCAGGTAATGAACCAGCTGAGCTCCTACTATACGGTAGTATCCTCTTCCTGATACAATTGCCTAGCAGGTGTGTGTAAGCATACGGTACATGTACGCATACTACATGTACACGTGTACATGTATGTACATACACGAAAATCCCACTAGGTCAACTTTAAACCATCAAAATGTTCCATTGAATTCCCTGCAAGGAAGTTTGAAAGTGCTCGCCTGTGAGTCACATATACATGTATGTACCATGGTAGCCTCCAAATCTACAAACAATCTGACTCATTCTTTGAAAAATGAAACCCTGTTTTGTAAAAGTTCCGCAAGTTTGTCCAAAACTCATAAATTCTGCCCATTTCTAATTTACTTTTCCTTTTTTTAACTTCAATTTATTTCCCAACAAAATGGTCACACAAATGAATATTTCTTATAGAAACTGTATCTATAGAAAACATAAAAGCACTCCAGTTTATATAAATATTTTCAGTGAAAAAGGCTTTTGTTTCATAACTCAGAAATTTGGATAAGAATTGGCTCATTGGTGGCCTAAATACATCATGGAAGCTCCAGGCAACTGTATCAATTTGATACTGCTACAGGACATGTATGTGTCAAAGCGTGAACTTCATGCATAATGGCTAGGCAATAATCCTTACCATGATCAACTTCCATCAAGCAAGCCAAGGTTTCTCGTTATACCACCCAGGCCCAACCAATTTATGACATTTCACACAAGTAATGCAATACAATGCCCAAGCCATTAGGGAGATTTTTCTTTCAACTAAGCTTCTGTGTGTGTTCCTAGATTTAGAAAAGCCCAGCCATGAACGGTATTGATTTTGTAACAGATGGGTTACCATCTGACATTCACAGATATGTATGACATGTATGTACTTCAGTGAGATACATTTTAATTTTCTCTAACGTGTGTCAAATAAAATTGCAGCCATTTTGAAAGAGAAGACTTACA